GCGCGCCCCGGGCTAGTGGCGCTGTCCTTCGCGGAGAACGCCAGCTCCATTAGCGAGGAGGACCGCCGCCATTTCGCCGGGGCGCTGGGCTCAGTGCCGATCGAGCTCTGCGCCAGCGGCTGCAGTCCGGCCAGGAGGCCGAGGTTGTACTGCAGACCCCGGAATTGAGCTGGGAGGTCGAGGCCGGGGTGATCCGAGGGGCGCTCCGAGGGGCATGGCCTTCCTGGGCCGAGTGGCTCGAGGGAGGGGCGAGCCGCCCGCGGGAAGAGCATGGAGCTTGGGCGATTCTCGCGCGCCCAATCCCCCGCGAGGAGCCACCTATCGCCCCCGCGGACCTCGCGAGCACGGGGCCTGCCGCGCGGGCTCGCTGGGGGGCGGATCAGTATCGCTACGCCCCGTGCCAGTACAAGTTCAGCAACGTGGTCTATGACCGCCAGGGGTACCTCCGCCCTTTGACGAGCGAAGAGAGGGCCGTGCGGTTGGGCTTTCCAGCCAAGCACTGCCTGTGGGCCGTGCCCACGTCCGCGGGCCTTTCAGACCGCGAGGTGGAGGACGTGCGCTGTGGTCTCTACGGCAACACCTTCTCGGTCCCCGCGGTGGCGACGTTGCTGGGCCATGGCCGGGCGTCGGCGGGCGCGTTGGCGCGGCCGCCGACCATTGTTCAGTGCTGGGGGGCTGTCAACGTCGAGGCGGGCGAGTAGCTCAGCCAGCTTCTGGGCAAGGCCCCCTTCCGACGCAAATGCCATGGGGGTGTGCGACGCCACGTGCGAGGGCCTGGTCCGCTCTGCTATGTTCAAGGGCAGCGACGCGCGCATCGCGAGCGGGCGCGTCCGCAACCCGGCTGGCTGGTCGCGCCGAGGGGTGGAGGCGCACATATGGCAGTGGAAAGTATGCGTCTCCTTTCCCCAGGGTGGGGGTCGACGTGTAAATGTGCTTGAGATGCAGGCGCTGCTGACTACCTTTCGGTGGCGCCTGCGCACGACCTCCGTCCTGGGAGGCCGACTGATTCATTTTTGTGATTCGCAAGTGTGCATCGCCGTGGCCTGCAAGGGCAGGTCTACCTCTTCGCTGCTGCAACGGTTACTCATGCGCCTGAGTGCGCTCCTGCTGTCTACGTCGTGCCACCCCTCTTACTTTTTCGTGAGGTCGGGGCTCAATCCGGCCGACGCGGCAAGCAGGTGGCGGTGACCATTCTGGCGACGGCCACGAGACAGCAGAGACAGCGCAATTGGGCAGCAGCAGGCGCATTGTGATCACTTCAACTCCAGCCGCGCACGCTGAGGCGCTACGCTGGGGCCGCCAATTTCTTCTTCACTTGGCTCGCCAGGCGCAGCGAGCCGATGCCCCAGTCCGTCGCCGCCGCCGACGAGGTTCTGGGATAGTTTTTAGAGGCGTGCCGGGCAAACGGCGAAGCCAAGTCAATGGTCGGCGACGTCTCGTCCAGCTTGCAGCACTTCGTCCCGTGCTTGCGGCGAGCGCTCAATGGCTCGCGGCGGCTTTTTTCAACTTGGCCGAAGAACGAGGTCTCCTCGAGGGCCAGGCCGCTACTGCCTGAGCAGGCCTGGGCCACGGCAGGGTGCGCCCTGTCCGAGGGAGACGCCGCCATGGCGGCCGCCATCCTCGCGAGCTTCAACGGCTTCCTTCGACCGGTGGAAACCGTGCTGCAGGCGAGCCAGCTCACGTGGGACGTCGACCGCGGTTTGGTGCACATCAACTTCGGCTTTGCCAAGGGCGGCAAGCGCGCTGGAGTTGCCGAGCACGTTGTCACAGACGAGCTCGAGGCGGTGGTTCTTGTCTCGGGGCCCAGCTGCTCCTCCGAGGGGTTGCAAGCTTCAGGACAAGGTTCCGCCGCTCAGTGGGGCAGATCGGAGCTGGTCCCAATCGCCATCGGCCTTGCAGCCTGCGCCGGGGAGGCGCCGCGCATCACTTCCAGGCCATCGGCAGATTGAGCAAGACCTGTGCGCGAGGCCGCTGGAGGCACCAGCCGACAGCGAGGATCTACATCTTGGCTGGCGCGGCGATGCTGGAGCGAGGGCGCCTTTCGAGCCGAAGGAAAGCTTCGCGGCTGAAGGAATGGCGCCGTTGCGCCGCCTGCTGTGAGTCCCCGGCCAGCCCGATGCCTCCAGTCATCGTCAATCTGGGGAGCGTGGAGGGGCGCCCAGAGGATCGCGGCCGCGCAGTGCCGCCGTGGTCCCGCTTTCCCCGCCCTCGGCGGAGGCCCCGCCCCCTGCGCCCAAGGCGGCGCTTCCTGCGAGGGCAGGGGGGGGGGGGGGCGCGGCTGCGGCCAGCAGGTGGCCGTTGGGCGACGGGCGCCCTGAGCACGGCCGCGCTCGCGCCGCAGGGTGCCCGCCGCCGCGGCGCGCAAACAAGAGCGCCGCGTGCGGCGCAGAGGAGGGGGAGGAGGAAGGCGCGAGCGCTAGATGTTCGACTTCGTCTATTGGTGCGAGCTCCTGGTCACTCCGACCTCCTTGCAGCCTTTCGGGGCCACCGGTCCGCCTGGCGGCTGGGGGGTCTTCGACGCCGACGAGCTCACGCGGTGTCGTCCTGCGCTGAGTAGAGGAGGGGCGCCCAGAGGATCGCGGCCGCGCAGTGCCGCCGTGGCCCCGCTCCCCCCGCCCTCGCTGGAGACCCCGCCCCCTGCGCCCGAGGTGGCGCTTCCTGCGAGGGCAGGAGGGGGGTGGGGGCGGCTGCGGCCAGCAGGTGGCCGCTGGGCGACGGGCGCCCGGAGCGCGGCCGCGCTTGCACCGCAGGGTGCCCGCCGCCGCGGCGCGCAAACAAGGGCGCCGCGTGCGGCGCAGAGGAGGAGAACGAGGAGGAAGGAGCGAACACTAAATATCGGCGCTGCATCGCCGGTACCTTGTCAATGTATTCCTCCCTGAGCCGGCCCCCCCTAACGTTGCCCCTGATCCGAGCTTAGACTTCTGGCGGTCGTTCGAGACGATTCTGGCTTGGCGGGGGCGCTCCAGGCGAGGTCCAGCTGATGCCAGCCACTTCAGGTCTCGAAGACGTTCGCACATTTTCGAACGTCCACAAACTTTCGAAGACCCGCGAGGAGAAGGGCGATGTCTCCATCAGCGGGGAGGCGTCCTGGCTTGCCCATGGGCCCACCCTCTAATCACCTTTTGTGGTTGCGCCAGTTGTTCTTGGAACTCTTTCGAGTGAGACCGCCTTGTTTTAATACGTGGGCTCTTTTCTGCAAAAAGAAAGCACGGCGTTTGCTCTTAGAAGAACTTTCTGTTCTAAGAACATGTCGTGGTAGGCCTATAAGATACTGGGGCGGTCGGCCCCTGCCCAAATGTTTGGATTTTGTTTGATCCGACGACGACGGCGGCGACGGCGGCGATGACGGCGGCGACGTCGACGGCGACGGCGACGGCGACGACGACGACGGCGACGACGGCCTCTGGTCGCAGGTCCGCGGCGGCATCGCCGAGGGGCGGCCGCCCGATATCGGCCCACTGCGGCGGCTGCCCCTCCTCGCGGACCTGGCCGGGAGGCTGCTCGCGCCCGCGGCGGCGAGGCTGCGGCGCGGGCGCGGGCCCTTCTCGCTCGGCCCAGGCCCCCTCGACTCATGGTCAAATCGCGGCCGACTGTCTTTTGGTATCTTCGGCCTCTGGGGGCCTTCACCACGCCCCAGGACCGTCAAAAGAGGACTCAGGATGAAAAACTGGTCCTGTGGCACTGGGGACCCAGTAATCAAAAAATCACGTCGTCGGATCTCTGGGAAGGGGGGTGATGGGGGAGGGTTTTTTAGAATCACCCTGTTTCTTCGAAGATGCGGGCGTTGTCTGTGGATGTAAGGCCGGCGCCTTCTAAGACGCAGCTTCCTTCTAAGATGGCTTCCCCCTCCCCCATCCCCACTGTGCGCGCCGCCAACGGCCAAGCCGGGGGCCGAGGCCTTCGGTGGGCCCCTCTCGCTCGGGTCGGGGACACCTAAGGCTCGAGTTCGATGGAGCTCGGGCCTGCCGACGCTCCAAATCTCAGACTAGGCCTCAGGCCTCGTCGTTTTCCTGACGGCCCCGTCCGGCCAACGCGAGTCTCCCGAACCTGAGTCCTGCATCTCCCCCATCAGGGGCCGCGGCCCGAGGCCCTCGGCGGGCTGGCGTCGTTGGTGCGGTCGTGGGCAGTCCGACGCATGTGGTCGTGCGTGCGGCTGTGCGCGCGATCGAAGCAGAGATAGTGACAGACACACATTATACTTTCGGAGCCCCGCGCGGTTTTTTTAGATCGGCGCTTGGCCCCCGTGGCGCACTCCGCGCGCCAGGGAGGGGGTCCAGCGCAGATCCAAGATATCTGCGCGGACCTCCAAACATTTACCCGTAAGGGCTTCGCCCCCTGCCGCCGGCCCCTTCTCTCGGATAATGGGCAATGAAAGTGCGAAATCATGAGGCCTTGGCGCCGCCGTGAAGCACTGTCGAGACTTCACGCGAAGACGATGAGTAATCGGCAAGACAGATTGAGATTCTGATGATATTGTTGAATTCGGTGTTGTATTTCGAGCTTGCTCGCGTATGCTGTGCAAAAAGCTTTTCTTCGAAGTATTGAAATGTTGCAAATCCCATGTGTTTTTTGACCCTGACCCCACCGATCTGCGTGAGGGGTGCCACCGAATTTCACGACATGTGGCAAATCCCATGTGTTTTTCAACCCTGACCCCGCCGATCTGCGTGAGGGGTGCCGCCGAATTTCAGAAATGTGGCAAATCCCTAGACTGTTTTTGGACCCTGACCTTGCCGATCTGCGTGAGGGGGGCCACCGAATTTCAAGACATGTGGCAAATCCCTTTTGTTGTCGGACCCTGACCCCGCCGATTTGCGTGAGGGGTGCTACTGAATATCAGAATTGTATCAACTCCGTTGTGTTTTTGGACCCTGACCCCGCCGATTTGCATGAGAGGTGCCACCGAATTTTCAGAAGTGTAGCAAATCCGATGTGTCTTTAGAACCTGACCTTGCTGTTCTGCATGAAAGGTGGTGCGGATTTTCAAAAGTGTAGCAAATCCCATGGGTTTTTGGGTCTGACCCCGCCGATCTGCGTGAGGGGTGCCGCCGAATTTTAGAAATATGGCAACTCCCATGTGCTTTTGGACTCTGATCCCGCCGATGTGCGTGCGGGGTGTCAATTTCGACACCTCCCAGAAATTCTGAAACCCCTCCCGTGAGGTGCTAGCCAGCGCGGTTCTCGGCTCCCCCCCCCCCGTGCGGTCTACAACAAGGAACAGTAAGCAACAAGAAGCAGAGTTGTAACAGTGGAAACTGGAAACTGGAACTGGCACAGGGAACAGCAAACCCTGGTCCTACAGCCTGGTGGCCCCACAAGGGGGTCGGCGGATACTCATGCCGTTTTTTCTTCCTCGATTCTCGGTGAACCCACCGATTGTGGTCTCGAGGTCAGAGTTTCGACGTCTTCGGGCGTTTCCGTTGGTCTCTCGGCGTTTTTCCAGCCCAAGGATGCTCTCTAGCAGCTGTGTCTCGCCGAAGGCGTTCTGGGGGTGCCCGACTCGTTTCGAACGCTCGCCGGAGGCCCGAGATGTGGCCTGAAACCCCGCACACATAGACACAGACCCCATCCAGTGGATTGCTCCTAGGCCTCATGGGGAGAGTGACGCTGTACACTTCACCTTCAAGAGCCATCGACTCTATACAGAAACACCCTCCCTTTAAGGTACAAGTAGCACTCGTCGGCGGGTGTTTGTGTGTGT